CCCCGCCCCCGCCGCGCCCCAAGCCCGGCACGCTCTCCAAATGGGCGCCCAAGCCCGCATCGTCGCCGCCGCCCGACAACGCGGCCTCGCACTCGCACTCGCGCGAAGGATCCGATTCGTACGCGGGAGGGATGAGCGCGGCCGATGCGAAGAGCGCGATTGGCGCTGGAGGGTCGCTGAAGGAGCGCATGGCCGCGCTGCAGGGTATGGGCGCTTTCGGCGGGGGCGGCGGTGGTGGGGCAGAGAGGCCACCGCCGCCGAAGGGCGAGAAGCCAAAGTGGAAGCCGCCGCCGGTTGTGCAGATGAGCCCGCCGATCGGGGGCGAGGACGACGAGGACGCGCACGTGCCGCGTGTGGTGTCGCCGCCCGTTGCCGAGGCGGGCGAAGAGGCCAAGGAGGAAGAAGGAGAGGGCGAGGAGAAGGGCGAGGTGGATGCGGAGGAGGAGGAGAGGCAGCGCAGGGCGGCGATCGCGGCGCGCATGGCCAGGCTCGGAGGCGCCAGGGTGGGCATGGGCCCGCCTGTGTTTGGGAAGAAGCCGACGCCGCCGCCGAAGAAGCCGTCGTTGGACGTCAAGTCGCCCGGTATGTCTGTTTCGTTACCTGTTTGCATCCAAAGATAGCCGCTGATGGCGCTGATCTAGAGCGCGTCGTGTCGCCGCCCGCTGGGGAGAGCAAGCCCGAAGGTATGCTCCATCGCGTCTGTCATCGTGTATTAGATTGCTTATTCTCCATCCAGAGCGCGTATCGTCGCCTCCCGTTGGCGAGGAACACAAGCACGAAGGTAAACGTTATTGATCTTGATTCCCGCATCTGAGTGCTGATGAACAACGCAGAACGCGTCTCGTCGCCTCCAGCAGTCGCAGAGCCCAAGCCCGCAGGTACATACACCCCTACTCATACGATCGATCATTCTAACAATACCCCAGCACCCGAAGCGCCCGCCGTCACGACTCCAGCAGGCAAGTCTCCCCATCCCTCCCCAATCCAATCTAATCTAACCCCGCCCACAGACAACGCAACCTCGCCGCCCCCATCAATGCCCATCCCAGCCGCCCCCCGCCGCGCCGCCCCACCCCGCCGCAAGACGCCCGCAAAGCCCACGCCCGCCTCCACGCCCTCCGAAGCGCCCGCCGCGCCCCAAGACGAAGTCCACGCGCCGACGCCGGGCGCTATGCCGGCGGCTGAAGAAGGCACGCAGAGCGTCGCGTCGGCGCTGGCGGATAAAGTCGCGGACGAGGAGAAGGAGGTCGTCGAGCCGCCGAAGGAGCATCATGTACCGGTCGACGAGGAGGAGGGTACGCCTGTCAGGTCGCCGTCGCCTGAGCCGACGCCTGTCCCGGTCGATGAGGGCAGGCCTGATCTGGAGAGGAAGGGGACGGTCGATGTTGCTGCTGAGGTTCCCGTTCTCGAGACGCCTGCTGTGACGCACGAGGAGCAGCCTGTTCAGCGCCGGAGGTCGGACGCGTCTGACGCCCGACCTGAGAGTCCCGAATTGGCGGACGAGACGCTCGGCGACGACGAAGTTGCCCAGCTCGAGGCGAAGGATGAAGAGGTGCCCGAAGTCAAGCGTGAGGAGGAAGAGGCGCCTGTCGACCAGGAAGAAGACGAGGAAGCGCGCCGCAAGCGCATCGCGGACAAAGTCGCCAAGATGGGCGGCTTCAACCCGTTCTCCGCGCCCCTTCCTCCCCGCGCCGCGCCAGAGCCCGAAGCAGACCACCCCGCCCAGCCCGTGCACGAGCACCACGACGCCGTCGCTGGCCTCGCGCACCCTACGACCGAAGACGAGAAAGAGCTGCGCGACGCCGTGGAGGAGCACGAGGGCCTGCCCGTCGAAGATATCGAGCGCGCGAAAGTCGCAGCGCAGGCCGCCGACCTCGAGCCGGAAGAAGTCGACGCTATGACGTCCGGCGCACCCGTCGATATCGACGGCGCCGTGTCGCAGTCTGGGCTCCCGGTGCAGGTCGTGACGGAAGAGGACGAGGCGCAGAGGGAGGAGAAGGAGAAGTTTGTGGGTGAGATGAGGGAGCGTGAGGGGGATGTGAAGAGTCCGACGTTGGAGGTGCCGCCGAGGCCGGCGGTGGGGAGGAGGGGGAGTAGTGGGAGTGTGAGGAGTTATGGGGTTACGACTATTGGGAGGGGGGTGGATGTTGAGGAGGACGAGGATGGTGGGTATTGAGTGGCTTTTTCGATCGTGAAGATGTGTAAGAAATCGGATGGGCACAAGGGCACTGGATGGATGGAAATACACAAACGGATCTGACATGATATTTTCTCTTCGTGATGTCGTCGTGTACGCTATACAACAGATCGCTGAAATATACATCTGCTTTATCTAGGCCCGCGCAAACAGCACGAAGACCAGCCCGCGTCGCCCGAAGATTCATCCCGTCCCTATCACACCCTCGACTCGGTCCCCTCCTCCGCTCTCCCGCAATCTGCGCGCCCACCCCAATCAGGCTCGTCGTCGCTCTTCTCGCCGCGCCCGCCGCATGTGCCGCAGGACGGCGCGGACGAGCCGTTGCTCGAGGAAGGCGAGGGCGAGTATGAGGAAGGGGAGGAAGAGGGCGAGGAGGAGATCCCGCCGCCGCCGCCTGCTCGACCGATCATGTCGCCTCCACCCCCGCCTTCGCGTGCGCCACCCCCTCCAGCGCCGGTCGATGAAGAAGAGGAAGAAGCGCCGCCCCTGCCGGAGAAGCGGACGTCGATGCCGCCGCCGCCGAGTCGGGCTGTGCCTCCGCCTGTCGAGGCTGAAGAGGTGGAAGACGTCGAAGAGGAGGAGGCGCCGCCACCGCCACCGCCGTCGGCTCCGCACCCGAGTAAGCGCGCGTCGGTGCCGCCGCCTTCGCGCGCACCGCCTGCGCCCGAGCCTGTAGAGGTCGAAGAAGACGTCCCGCCGCCGCCGCCATCGGCGCCGCGGCCCAGTAAGCGCACTTCGGTCCCGCCTCCCGCTCATGCGCCTCCACCCGCGCCCGCTGTACACGACGAGCCCGCTCAAATCTCTGACGTCCCACCCCCACCTCCCTCCGCCCCGCGCCCATCAAAGCGCACGTCCGTCCCGCCGCCCGTCCGCTCGCCTCCTCCGCCCGCGATGCACGACGAGCCCGCACAGATCGACGAGCCACCCCCGCCTCCGATCCCGACTTCGCGCCCGAGCAAACGCACGTCTATTCCGCCTCCTGCGAGGGCGCCGCCTGCGCATGCCCCGCCCAACCCTCACGATCGCGCACAGTCACCGCCGGCGCGCAAGCCGAGTGTGCCGGCCGGGTGGTCACCGAGGGGAAGTCTGGATGAGTCGAGGAAGAGTGTTGAGTCGAACGCGCCGCCATCGAGGCCGCCGCCGCCGCCTCAGTCATCGGAGAAGGAGGTGTTGGATGATTCCGATGGAGGTGAATTGTCATTGTAGTGAGATAAGATGTGAGGGTGTTGTACTGACGGTGTAGTCCCAGACCCGATCGACCCGCGGTTCCATAGTCCGCCGCCGAGGACGAATACGCTGCCTACGCTCGTCGCTCCTTCGTCTCCTCCTCAACCTCCTCAACATGAGGAGGCCAAGGACGCAGAGGAGAAAGAAGAGCAGGAGGAAGATCCCGAGCAGGCGAGGAAGCGGTCTATCGCGGAGAGAATGGCGAAGCTCGGTGGAATACGCTTCGGCGCGCCACCGCCTCTGCCCGGCGCACGGCGCGCACCCGCGCACGCCCCTCCTCCGCCAGCCGAAACCTCAGATGAACCTCAGTCCGAACCGCACGCAGAGACCGAACACGGGGACCACCAACCCGAAGAAGAACAGCCCCAGCAACCTCAAGAACCCGAAGAAGAAGAAGACGAGCAAGCGCGCAGACAGCGCATCGCCGCGCGTCTAGCCGCGAGCGGCGGGATGCGGTTCGGGATGTTGCCGGGCCAGATGCCCGCTGCTGCGCCGAGGAGGCGGGAGTCGAGCGACGATCATCAGGCCAGCCCGAGCTCGCCGCCGTCCACGCAGAGGGCGCCGGTGAGGGCGCCAAGTGTGCCGCATGCTGCTGCGCCGCCCGTACCCCGCACGGCTGCACCACCCGTCCCGCATACTGCTGCTCCGCCCGTTCCGCATACGGCTGCGCCGCCCGTGCCGGGCGGTGCGCGTCCGCCGCCGAGCAAGCCTATGCCTGCGCCGCCGCCCGAGTCGGAGTACGAGTACGCGGGCACGGGCACGGAGTCGGAGGACGGTGTGCATGTTGAGGCGGAGGAGAGCGAGGCGGAGGATGTAAGGCACGATGAGGCCGCGGGGTACGAGTATGAGGGGCAGTATCAGGAGGAGCCGGTCGGGGAGGAAGAGGAAGAGGAGGAAGAGGAGGCGCCGCCGCCGCCGCCGCGCCCTGCGACGCGCGCGCCGCCTGTGCCGCACGGCCAGACGAGAAAGGCGTCGACGGGCTCGTTCGAGACTGTTGCGCCGCCTGCGCGCCCGGCCATGGGTCATCCTCAGCAAAGCGACTTCGTCATGGTCGACGAGGAAGTTCCGCCTCCGCCACCCCCCGCCCGCGCACCGCCTGCGCGCGCTGCGCCCCCGCCCGCGCAGGCTGAGAGCAGTAATCAGTGGGAGCTGCCCGCTATTCCGTCTGGGGGACTCGATATGGCCGATACGAGCGCCGCGAGCGATCTGAGCGCGTCGATGTTCTCGGAGGACTCGACGACGTACCCCGGCACCGACGACGCCCCCTCTCACCTCCAGCCTTCGCATGTAAAGCCAATTCCGGAGAGTATGACGCCTGATGAGTTGAGGGCTGTGCATGCGAGCGTGGGGAGCAAGCTGGCGGAGGCGGCGGGCGCGCTGTTGCAGCGGAGCAAAGGGACGCTCGTGGGCAACGGGTCCTACGCGGGCTTCGTCGCCGCTGCGCTCGCGCACGTCCCGCACGCGCGCCCGCCGGCGCCGGGGAGCACGCAGTACGGGTTCTGCATCTACCACCAGGTCGCGGCGACCGTGCACACGCGCGCGGCGGAGATTCTGCCGGGCGATGTGATTGTGCTGGTGGAGGCGAGGTTGAAGGGGCATAAGGGCTTGCACGGGTATAGTTTGAGTGTGGGCGAGGGCGCGGCGTGTGTGGGGGTTGTGCTTGAGTTTGAGGGGAGGAAGGCGAAGGTGCGGGCGGCGCAGGCGAATCAGCATGTTGGGCAGGCTGTGAGTGACTTCTTGTTTTGGGCGTTTTGGGGGGAGTAGGATGCTGATGGTGGGTGTGCACAGACGGTTGAGAGCGTTAGTTATAGGCTTGAGGATTTGAAGTCGGGGAGTATCACGGTGCGTAGCTCTGATCTGCAGTCATCGGCCTCGTGCTCACTTTCTCGCAGATCTACCGCGTGTTGGAAGCTTGAATTTGTACGAATGGCTGGATATGGGCGGAACGTCGAGAGATATAGGTGTACGAATAGAACATGGACGGATTGTACATATGCACAACGTAAATTGAAGTAGGACTCGTGAGTCGTTATCACTGCAATACGGGCCGTGTATGTGTAGTAGCTCGGGGAGCACAGAAAGAGCCGGAAACTTAAATAATACGGGTCTGATGAGGATAAGAGGGAAGAAAAGAAACGAACCTAAGCCACATCGGCGAGGAATGCCTCAAGGTCGTCGAAGTACAAATTAGCACCGGGGAACTCCTCCAGGACGAGCTCCCAAACCCACTCGAAGAGGGTAGCGTAGGTAATGTCGGAGCTGTCCGTCAGGCTAGTCGGCCCGCCTGTGAGTAGCGCGACAATCTCGCCGGTGGGGGTGACGATAGTGGATCCGGAATCACCGCGCCTGGAGAAGGAACCGGTGTCGTTCTCATGGGAGAGGATGGGGATCTCGATCGACTCTATATTGCCGGTGGAGAAGTACTTCCGCGCATACGCCTTGAACTTACTGAGCGTGCCGACGGTGGTGTTGGTGCTGAAGCCGCGCTTGATAACGCGACGAACGCGATCGCCTTGCAGGTTTAAGCTGTTAGAATTGTTGACCTGATCGGCGGTGAGCATGCCTCGGAGATGAAGGAGACCATCTTCGGGGTACTTGAACACCGACGGGACGTCGATACGTTCGTACATGAGTGACTTGAGCTTCGACGGGGACATCTCCGGACCTAAAAGAGAGACAGGTATTTCAGATCAGCGTCATCCAACGAAAATCAACTTGCGCCGCACCAAGGCTCAGCACGTTCCCGATCATATGCTTGAACTTCTCCTTGTAAAGCTCGATGACGCAGAAGTCGCGGGTATAGCGGTGAGGAGCAACATCGACACCGATGGGGGGAGCCCAACGGACGAAGCCGATAACTCGGTCCTTGGGCTTGCTCCACCGCTTCTTGATTTCGACGAAGAACTGCTTGAGCTTGTCGATCTTGGTGCGCGTCTTGGCAAGCTCGGCCTCGTTCTCCTCCAGCTTGGCTTGCGACTCTTGGTCGTCGGCTCCGCCCTGCAACCTGGCTCTAAGCTTACTGATTTTCGTCTCGAAAACTTCGGCCGCGTCGCTGTACGTGCTAATAGCGGCCTGGATGGAGACCAGGTAGTTTGTGAACGCGGGCTGGCCCATCAGGAGAACCTTCTTCTTAGGAGCAGATCCTGCCGAGGGGCTAGAGTTAGAAAGGCTTTCGGATTCTCAAGGGCGTCAAGTAAAGACGTACCGTGGTGTCGATGCACCTCATTGTCCCCGTCGCGCGAAAACACGTTGTGCCGCACAGTGATTGCGTAGAGCTTGTCGCCGACGTGGAAGTATGGACCGAGGGTGCCTTGCATAGTAGTCTTACGACCAGCAATGGAAAGGCTGAGAGGAACGGAGACATTATCGATGACCTCCTTTAGAGGGTCGCCGTCTTCCACAGGCTTGAAAAGAGCTGGACCATGACCGTGTGACGTCTTGTAGACCGACTCTCGGTAAGCAATGTCGATGTTCTGGGCCGGGAGCGAGTCGAGGAAGGTGCGGATGTCCTTGGCCGATTCGTGCGCAACGGCACCGGTGAGAGTCTCTGGCACGACGCCAATCCAGATCGTAGGGTTGGTATAGTAGCGCTCACCGTACTCGACGGGCTGAATGGGAGGGATATCATCGTACTCGACGTCTGCATTTTCGTCATCGTCATCGTCGTCATCGTCGTCGTCGTCGTCGTCGTCGATCTCCTGGTCCTCCTCCTCGTTGAGCCAAGTGAATCGAACGAAGTCGACAGATGTGACTTTGATCTTTCTTGCGTTGAGTAAGTCCACGACCTTAGAACGAACATTAGTAGAAAATTGTTGCGTAATGAGAAGGCCACGTACCTTGTCGCGAACTCTGTCCCACAGTCCATTCTCCCCGAACTCGTGGCTATCTGGAACGGAGATCACCCTCATGAGGCGCCTGTACGCCTCAGGGCCATCGGGTTCCTCGAATTTGTCGTCGGACGTCCTATAAATGAGCTTGGGCCCGCGTCCCTTCGGACCCACACCGGCGTAGTAGAGGCTGGCCTCTATCTTCGGAACTTCGTGGGGGCTGGATTCGACGGTGGTGGCAGTCGACTCGCTGTCGTCGCTAGACCGCAAGTCATCTTCGTCAGAGTGACCGCCCTCGTTGGAGGACAAAGCGGCGAGCTCGCGAGCTTTCATGGAACACTCGAGATCGAACGCTGGGGTCTTGACGAATTCCTGGAGGGCGGAAAGCTCGGCGTCGCCTACTAAATGAAGAATACGAGCAGATTAGTACAGGCGAAGATGCAACAAAACGAACGTATAAAAGACTCGCCGCTGGGGCTAGAGGGATCATGTTCGGTCGGTGCAGACATAGTATTTAGAGAGTCGGGTCATTTGCAACTGAGTAAAGTGCTGATGAGCGAGTTGAGAGAAGCAAAGTGGTTTGGGCCTGTATGTTTTGAAACTTAAATAAATAAAAGACGCGTCGCGTCGCGCTTGCCCCCGTACCACGACCTGGACTACAGAGCACACCACACGCCTTTCCGAATTGTTATATCTTGCACATGCCAGCCACTTTGGCGCCCAGTTGAGGATGAACGTCGGGGTGCGCGCGGCCATACTCAGCTGCCATCGATCTGGAGCTTTACTCTGGCAAGGCCGCTCAGCCTTCCATCCTGTGCACCTCCCTGGCAGGCACTCGTCCCTCGAATTACACAGGCGCCATCATACACGCACGCCGTCTCGGACTCGGCAATTGTCTACCCTCACCGGCGAAGGCAGCATAACTGCAACGACGGCTCTTACAGTCCTCGTTGGCTTGCCGATTTCCCTGTGGGCGTACAAGGTGAGGCTGAGTTTCATATGCCCGTGTTTCAATACTCAATGCAACTTTCACAGTGCCTGATGATGTATATCTTTCAGAGGAAGATCATCTACATGGGTGAGTTGTCTAACATCGATCACACTGCAATATTGACCGGTGTATAGGATACATTCCCATGGGCGCACGTACCGAAACGCTGAAAGACGTGCCTATCCCCAGCAACGTACACGCGGAACGGATAGCTGTCTCCGGCGAGAGGAAGGCATCGCTCTCGGGTGTACTGGTGTGGCACAAATCTCGAGGCGAAGCATTGCCAAAGCCTACGACGGTCATGGTCTACTTCCAAGGTGTTTCATATAGTGGGACCTGCTACATTTGATACTGATACATGTACACAGGCAACGCAGGCAATACCTTACAGCGACTACCTAAGTTCGCAGCCCTACTTGACGCCGCACCGTCCACTCTCATCCTCGCAGTCGCCCCGCGCTCGTTCTGGTCCTCCGGAGGCGGCAGACCCACCCAAGCCGGGTTGACAGCCGACTACCTCCGCCTTCTGGCATACGCCTCCGAGCGCTTCCCTGATGCGCGCGTCATCGTATACGGCCACTCTCTCGGCGCATCAATCGCTACATGCGTGCTCGCGGCGACTCCAGCACCTCAGGTCCATTCACTCGTGCTGGAGAACTCCTTCGCATCGATACCCGACATGGTCCGAGCTCTATACCCAGAGCGCTGGCTACCGTACCACTACATGGGCGATCTCGTATGGGATACGTGGGACGCAGTGGGCGCGGCGGGCGCTTCAAAGCCCGATTCGGCCCTCGCGCGGGTGATCAAAACACAGCGGATGGTCGTGCTAGTCAGCGAGAAGGATGAGCTTGTGCCGCCGAGTATGGGTCGTGCCATTGCGGAGAAGGCTGGGGATGGTGCGAGAGTGGTATCCGTGCGCGGCGCGCTGCATGAGACGGGGTGGACAAGAAAGCAGTGGAAGGATGAGATGGGACGGTGTGTGCGTGAGGTCGAGGAAGACAATCCAGGGTAGCCGGGATGATGATGATGAGAAGGATGCATGTTGACGTTGGAGCATGTTTCGGACGGTCGTGCGTCAGGACTTCGTGACCACGATACACTTGAGATGCTCGATCCCCGAGTTCTCGCCAGATGCGTCGGTCTGAAGGTAAAAGTTGCCCGACTCCACGGCCATCTACCGATGTACGGCGAGCCCAGACCAACCCATGCACAGCCATCTACAACCACTGTCCTTCGCGATCACGGGTCGACTTCCAACACTTGGCATATCTGCGCTTGCACTGTACAAGCAGTAATGGTTGTACGCGCGGTCATGCTCGCATCAAACACGACATTGCGAGCTCCAGATGGGATGAGCGGAGGCGGCACAGGTACGGGGACAATTCCCCGTTGAAATTGTGTATAAAATGCGCATCGTTGTAGAGGTGCAGTCCAGCAGACTTCACATCGTCTTCTACCACCAAGCCAGTTTTTTTCGACATCTTTCGACTCGCCATGTAAGAGACTGCAAACTCGTCTCACCAGCGCTGGTTACTGAGTCCATCTTTGTAGACATCATGAAGTTTTGGGTCGCCATCACAGCTCTTGCTACATCCGCCAATGCGACGTCCATCTTGCCACGGGCGGCTGCATCCAACGCATCGCTCTCGATAGTCCAGCCCACTTATCTGCAAGACATCGGTTCGTCGGGAGATCAATTTGAGATCGTTCTCAAGGAGAGTTACGTGAGCGACTTCCAGTTCAAACTCGATGCATGATATCAGGCTGACCATGAACGTCCACAGAACAGCGCAAACTACAACGTGACGGAAGTCTCCGTCGTCATCGGCATCAACCCGTGCGGCGATGACGATATATGCGGCGATGCGCCAACGCAGGCCTGGGGCGATGTCCTATACAATGGCCGGATAACAGGAGGAGAGCTGTCCGTGAAAGCGACGGTTCCGGAGAACTTCTTGGACGGACGCGCGGATTTCCACGTATACCATGTCGCTGTGACCCGGGGCAGTCCGACTGAGTCGGTCAAGCTGTTCACGGAGATTCAGCAGGTGACGGTTATCGTCTCACCTTAGGTTAGGCTTGTCGTACTCGGATACCTGATACTCTCTAGCTGTATTCGGACAATAGTAGTCTTAGCAAATGTCCTCACTCTAGTATACAAGATCCACCTATGATCGTTATTCAGTACATTGTCTATTCGAGAGTCGAGGTCTGTAGGACTAATACGACTCACCGTCACCTGTGGTGATATGAGAACACTGGCACCGTGTACAGACAATGAGCTTGCGAGGCTCTGGAACAGACGCACGTGCGTAGCTCGGCCGCTATCACGCCCTAAGCCTGAGGCTGCTTGCTCTAGAACCACCACCATGTCGCCCCCAGACTAGACGTGCTATTCCTTCCACACGGCCAATCCCGACCACCTGTGATAGTCGAGGCCACTCATACGTACTATTATTGTCATGTACTATGGCTGGGCACATCGCACCATCGATTGCGCGCCCATTGATTCTTCTGTGATGCACTGAATGGAGCGTGCGCACGTCGTGGCCGGCTCTCAGAGCCTCGGCGTACACCGCCGTGAGCTATCTCGAGACCATCTACACTATATGACTGCTCTACGATTTTTCTGGGCGGTCGTCTGCTCAACCATTGGTCACCTCTGTCTTCAACGTCACGACGTCGTCAAATTGAGTCCAAACATCACCAGCGGTTCTCGACGATTTTCCCAGCTTGATGATGCATGATGCTCCCAATCGTGCCTGTTCCGAGTCCTGCCGGCCATGCAGTAGCTGCATGACGTGCTTGTACGGGATCCGCTCTCGAAGCGAGCGTTTTGCTACGGCTCAGGCTGTGCCCTCTGTCAAGTTGCCCGTGCACTGCTACCCGTGCACTACTTTTGGCCTCAGGGACTTTCAACACACTCATTTACTCTAGCACTTCTCACTTCACCAGGATGTGCACTCCGGTGAAGCGTGCATGTCCTTGTCATCTAGCGAACGTGCATGCGTCGTGAGACTCGTTCATTGCGGCCCATTGCTCTATCTCTATCGATTCCCAGACCTCGAGCTGACTTCATCGCTCTAGATTGCCCGCACTTTATAGTATCAAATGTTATGCAGGTCAACAGGAATCAAGATGGAACCCAGACTATTCGGGCCGGTGAACTTTCAAGTGAACGGCGCTCGAGGTTCGGCCACTGTCGCCCGTACGCGCTCCAGCCTCGTCGGGCAGACTTCACAGCTCTTCATGTCCGGGTTGAGCTGGCCGGCGAACGCACGTCAAGCATTCAGAGCGGAGCTGACCTCTGGACGACCTGTGTAGGACCAGGGGGGCCGGAGCTGGCTTGCCGGCTACTCGAAATAGTATAAAGACTGCCATACCACGACTGCTATACGACAGGTTTCATACCTTCTCATACCACCGCGCATATCAACCTTCTTTATTCCTTGCGTCCTCTTCGGATCGGTACGTGTCTGCACCGTTTCACAACCACCGCCTTCATCTTTGACATGGCTCTGCTACCCTCAGACGTCGATGAAGTCTTTTGCCATCCTCTTCGCCTTTGTCGCGTCCGCGGCGGCCATCGCTATCGCACCCCGTTCAGCGGCGCTCAGACCGAGCAACGACTCTATCACGATTCTTCAGCCCACATATCTCCAGAACATCGGTGCCCCGGGCGATACATTCAGTGTCCTTTTGAGCCAGGAAGACGTGCGTGGAGTTAATCCGGTGTTTCACCTACGACGCTGATATCGGTTGCGCTAGCTTGTCAATGGATTTGAGAGCACAGAGCTTTCCGTCGTCCTCGGCATCAACCCCTGCGGTGACGACGACGTCTGTGGCGACAATCCGGCGGGGTTCTTCGGCGACGTGCTATATAATGGCAACCTCGATGGCAGCGATATGCTGATCTACGCCAAAGTCCCCGAAGGCTTCCTCGACGGCCGCGCTTCGCTGAACCTCTTCCACGCTGCGCTTCAGCAGCCGCCGAACGACCCGTTGCAGGTGTTCACAGAGGTCAAGCAGATCACTGTCATCGTCTCCCCTGCCACGTGAACTCCACTATTAGGAGTGGTGAAGTTCTGGACATTGTAATGAACTTCGATGTGTATTTCTTCTGACGGACGTCATGTACTGCTGAAACGTCTAAATGTAGCAACGCATTATAATAACATAATCTCTTATCGCAGTCGGACCTCGACCTAAGGTTACAATCGCGACTGAAAGTAGATGATGCACAACCAACATCTTACCGAGCAATCACCTGTGAGTCATAGTCAGTGCTGGAAGGTCTAATCAGACATCCGCCGAAGCGCGCAGATGATGGTTGAACGTTGAAGGCCAGAAAGGGCGCTGGCCTCCCAGGCGAGCCGGTTGCTCTTAACACCTCTGTGGACTCATAAGTACCCATTTCGACCTCGACACGTCCAGCCTAGACTCTATCCGCGATCATTACTCCTCCTCATCCCTGCTCGTCCTAAGTCTCGCACGATCATAAACAAATCGGGCGTGCAGTAAAGTCTGTAATGCACCCTGTGGCCACCAGCGCTGTCCTGTCCTAAATACACTCAAGCGAGGCCGCGCCGCAGCTTCCCGCGAGCACAGGTCCAAGAAGCCCAACCACCTTCTCTTCCTACGCCGCAAGTGCAGAATACACGGTCAGGGAACATCGTTCGCCAAACACAGAAGCCCATCCGGGCGTATACGCGTCCACGCGCATCTTCCGTCGCTGGACGCGGTCCGAGACGCGCTCACGCGACCTGCGTTTACTTCGTGTTTGTATGCACTTTCTTGAGGTAACATGCGAACGCGCCTGGATCGTGAGGCTTGTATGCTCCTCATACAGGTATGTGCATTCCCCGGTGAGACCACGGAATACGGAATACATAATAAACCGCGATGCGATGCCGTGGTCTGGAGCAGCAAGTACACTCAAGTGCTGAGCTCCCCTTCCAGCTTGTGATCACCTGTTGTGGTGCCGTTCATCCCGGCGAGTAACAGTGCTCTTCAGGCAATGCCTTTCCCGCCTGCTCAAACTCAAGTTACCGACTAAGTGTGACTGACTGTGTCGAACCACAGCGCGCGTGCGATACTTCGAGCCGCGAGAAGCCTCAAATGGCCCACCATGCCCGACGCCTGTAGATCTACGGGCTCTTTGCGCGCCGTCTATGAACCCGCGGCACGCATGGATCGTCGTAAGTTCCGCGTACGAGCCATACATAACACATGCGCCGTGCATGTGTCAGTGTAGGTAGGCCGACGGATCTCCTTTTGTACGCGCGTGCCGCCAGACTAGAAGCGAGAACGCTCAATCAAGTAGCCTTACCGTACCATGCACGAAATGTAGCGCCTCTGAGCGCATATACCTATAAGACGAATCAGAGTACGACTATCCCGCGAACTTGATCGGAGCACCCTGGCACGCGGGGGCGCGGGAATCAGCTTACACGACAGCCCCAGTTGTTCATCCCTGTCAGCTCGCGCGAGAACATCAACGACGGAGCGCCCGCCCAGACGCGCCCGACTATGACTTCCCATCCTGATCTGATGATTATCAAACAGTCAATATGCTACAGGATCAGAGGAACAAGGACAGGATCAAGCCTCGCGATAAGATTTTACGGTAGACGGCGCGCATTGGACGAGCTCACCGCGCCTGGCCCCCCGCCCGCTGGGTTGGAAAAAATCCCGCGTCTCATTTCAATTTCGCTTGTTGCCACTTGGACGCAGCCTCCTGCTTCTAATGCGTCGCAGCCCGATTCTCTTCTGGAAACGTCCTCGAAAGTACGATGAAAACGGACGGGCACGGGTGCATATGAAATGGCCGTATATTGACGTGCGCGCCGGAGCGCATTATGAGGGCAGCGGGTCTCGGGTGCGCGATTGGGCAAAGATACGACTCGGGGCAGCAGGTCATGATCGTGAGGGTCGCGCTAGGGTCGCGCGGAGACGTCGCCATCGCGAGCACCGTGTCCTCTCTGTCCGTAAGATCATTTTTCTGGAAGACCAGAAAAGCATAGAACAATGTGCAAGTCTAGGCCTTGGCTAGGAGGACCCGGGCGCGCACGAAGGGAGAGGGAGGGCATGAAACCCAGGGTAGGCATGTAATCGAAGCGCACAGCCAGTGGCGAAAGTGGGATGGTTCGTTTGGGTATCACGACGAGCGGAGTTGGCAGGGTGCATTGGTATTTCAAAGCCGTGTCCTACGTGTATCACAATTGAGACTGCAGCGGCCAAGACTTCCTTCGTGGGTGTGAGGTATTCAAGAAAGGGCATAGTTCGAGGAGTCCGAGGTGGGAGCGTACTAGACGCAGAAGGGGGTGTAATCAACAAGGAGGATCAAGATTTTGGATCGTAGAAAGTACACTAGAGAACACATAGCAGCAGTCAGTGGATGCGAGGGCTCTTGGTGAAGCGTACACAGGGACGGGGACGTGATTGTAGCCTGAGAATCATGCGGATTCGGCGCCGGGAGACCAAGGGGAAAAGAGAAGTGTCCTATAGAGAGCCCAAGGAGGTAAATGCGGGGGATTGCGGATGCGATGGAGAAGGTAGAGTACAGACGATTACGCACGATGATGGCGAATAGAGTAGCAAAACATAGAGAACACGAAATCAAGTGGGCAAGAAGACTATGGAGACTGCGAGGACTAGACGGGACGAATGGTCAGAAGCGA